GACAAACCCATGCGAGCAACATAAAGAATTAATTTATAGATACTAATAATAGCTTTGATGGTTTGCATTATTGTAAATTGTTAATGTTTTGGCTTCACTTAAAGTGAATGTAAAGCTTTAATGTTGTTTACAAAGTAAAAGAAGATCATGGAAAACTGTATTTCTAAAAGCATTAATACCTATAATATGAAAAGAAAACATACTTATCGTAAAAATATAAAAGATTTGTAAACTTGTTTATTTATTTATTTATTTATTTTGCAAATTTGAATTAATAGTAACCTGAAAACCGATTATTACAAATAACATTGTCAAAAACGAAAACAACTTAACTTAGGACATTAACAAACAAGAAATATCAAAGAGACAAAACCAATAAATTTTGACAAACATAAGGATGGTCAAATCCCTTTTTTATATTGAGTGAAACATCATTCCTTTTTCATGAGACGACATAAACCTTCATGAAAATATTCTTACGAACACAATAATTTATAAAATTTGCAATGTTTGGTGTAGAAAAATAGTTATATGAATTCAATTAAATTGATCATTTTTTGATAGACTAAACTGCACAAATGGTCATTATAGTTTGTCGAAAATTATCACTTTGGTACAAAATGGTTTTGACCAGCACTAGTGGTCCAAAACTTTCATTTTGTTGCGTCTTTGGTCCAATCTATTTTAATTTTTATCAAAATGATAGATTTGTCACTATTAATATGATTTCTCTTTTCTCTTATTTGTTTTTCTTTCGGATTATAAAAAAATAAATAAAATAATAAATAAAATAAAATAAAAACTAAAAAATAAAAATAAAAATAAATCTCTCTCTCTCTTGATTTTCAGGTTAAAAAAAACAAAAAATAAAATCTCTTTCACACACACACACTCTCTCTCTCTCTCTCTCTCTATATATATATATATATATATATATATATATATATATATATATATATATATATATATATATATATATATATATATATATATATATATATATATATATATCCTGATTTTCAGATTAAAAAAACAAGAAAATAGAAGTAAAAATAAATCTCTCTCTCTCTCAAGTCGTCTCTGCCTCCCACTTCTAAAACCATAGCACCCTTAATCTTTTTTGGTTTTAGTGTATGGGTATGAAAATCAAAAGAAATTTAGGCTCAAACCATGAATATGTTCCTCTCACCCCTCTTGCATCTGAACTTCAACGTCTCCTCACTCCGCCACCATCACCTTCATTCATCCGGTTGGTGTTGTTCATAGCGACATTTGATTCAAATCCCTCGTGTATCTGATTCAAATCCACCGATGAACTGTGCTTCTTCATCTACCTTCTTCTTCATTTACTACTCCCTAAGATACATATCTCGGATGTTCATGGCGGCTAGGGTTTCATGGACGTCATCGTCAGAGATAGACGAAGCCACCATCTCCTCTACAAACTCTAACAAACCTAGATCTGGTGATGGACAAACATATCCACTAGTGGAGAAGATGATGGGTTGTAGGCTGTGATGGAGGGATAAGGGTGGGGAAAATGATGAGTGGTGTTTGGTTGTGTCTGATGGTAGTATATTCGGGTTTGCAGAGCCCCCGCCATTGATTTGGCTGCAAATGGTGGGGTTAGGGTTTATTTGGTTTAGAGTTCGAGTTCTTCGTGTAGCCGAGATCTCGTCGCTGTTTTTTCCAGTGCTTCCACCTTTACGACGAGCTCAAATCAGCTGTAAATCGATTTTAATGGTGGGTTGAAGCCGATTGGGTTTTCTATTCAGGTTACTGATCTTTCTTACAATTAGATTTCAATGGAGAAACCAAATGTTGTCCAGTGCATCCTGTTAAATAGGTGATGTTTCTTGATCGGTGATATTTCTTAATCTATCCAAATCGATTACATATTTGTTTTCTGTTTTTTAGTTCTAAAAATAATTTTGAAGAACATACAATTTCATATTCATTTTCTGGGTTTTTTTGTGCTTCGCATTCAATTTTAGGATTTTTGGTTTATTTAGTTCCAGAAAATACTTCAGATTTATGGGTTTGTTTGTTTTGTATGTACGTAATTGTTTTTTTTTTTTTTTTTTTTGAAGAAATTTAGAATTCTGGTGTGTTTTGGATTGAGTTTGGAGAGAGAGAGGTATATTTTTATTAATTCTTTTAATCATAAAAATATTTAAATAAATAAAAAAACAAAAAATAAGTGTAAAATCGTTATTACAAAAAAGTATAAAGTAAAGTTAGATCAAAATCGCAATAAAATGAAAACTTTGGATGAAAGTGGCAGTTTTCAACTAACGAGGACCATTTGTGCATTTTAGTCTTTGTGATACTATATAAGATTGTTTCTGTGGTTTGGGTAATCTGTGCATTTGACCTCTAATTTTTTTAAAATTGAACCATCTTTATACTTTGTTTTGTATCGATTTTGATCTTGTCCGACTTCAAGTAACCATTATACCCTTAGTTTTTAAAATTTCTTATTGATTTATTAGTATTGTTATTATATGAATTAAATTAAAAAAAAAAGAATACGATCCTATAAACCTATGTTCCCTCACACCCACATCTTTTCATACGTTTATACACACACTTAACATCCAACCATCTCCATTCTCCATCACCGCATCTCCAATCTCCATTCAGACGCTTTTTTACTTACTGCTTTTGTTCAATAACCACCTCTCTCATACTGCTTATATTCAATAGCCACTGACATCTGCCATCTCTATAACTGCCTCTCCCCTCTCCATAATGTGTATACAACACAATAACATTGTTGGTGGTTTTTAAAATCGTGAAACAAAACTAAATTTTCTAAAATCGATTTCTATTTTCGAGAATTGACTTCTCCCATATTTAGTTATTTTTAAAATCATGAAATAAGATCGATTTCTTACAATATCATTATAGAGTTTTAATAATTTATTTTTCATTGAATGCTTTGATTTTGAGTATGTAGGTTTGCTTAAGAAATAGAGGCTGGAAATTATTGTTGCATCAGTTTAATTTTGGGATTTTTCTAGAATTGATTTTATCAGGTTTCTTTGGAATTTTCTAGATTTAATTTCACATGGTTTGACTTCTCCAAACTTTTTGGTTGAAGATTTTTTTCTCAAGTTTTTAGATTTGATTTCATCAGGTTTCTATGAAATTTTTATAGATTTAATTTTGATTAGTTTTTGGATTGAAAATTTGAGTTGTTTAGATTTTTTTTTTGGATTTGACTTCATCAAGCTATTGGTCTTGCTTGTTTTGATTATATGTGAGGAAAAGTGTGAGGTTGGGTTATGATCTCGATCTTGATCTTAAGATCTTACGATTTGAAGATCCTAGAAGCTAAAAATGATCTCGAGCTCACTAGTATCTATCTGAAGCAAGATCTATAGTGTGATCTTATGATCCACATTAGGATTTTAAATTCTTAACACGATTCGATCCCACCTCTTTAGTTTTATTATATAGTCAAACCTAAAAAAAAATTATATTCAACTTGAAATCAATTGCAAGTTGCAAAGTCCTCATGGATCACCATTACTTCATCACTTTAACTTGAATTAGGCATGCTATACTCATGATATCTCGTTTGTGATCTTAATCCTTTAGTTGTAGATCATAATGATCTTGTTTCTTTTTTTAATTAAGATGTTTTATTCTTAATCTTTATGGTTTGTAGTGACAAAAATTATGATTCATGTTTAAAAACTTATAGTTGATTCCATATTGACGTCTTAATCGACATTAAATTATAATGTATATTGCACACCTAATACCTTATGAGAAATTTGAATACAAGTTTATTTTGGTAGGATCTTCTGATCCCAATCCGATATTATGATTACGATCTTGTAAAACATAAAATGATATTGGGTATGATCCCGATCTTGACAACTTAAGTTTGCGTGTAAGATATAGGGCCTATTAAAATAAATAAACAAATAAAATAATAATAATAAAATCCAATAAGTGTAATATAGTTAGGTCTGAAAAAAAAAAAACAATACACAAACTACTACAACTAAAAAAAATAGAGATGAAAGATGCGATTTACACCAAACCAAACCATACGTTAAATAATATTAAGAAAACAATATTTGATGGCAACGTAACCTGATTCATCAAGAGTTACAGACAGTTGGACATGAACAAAAAAACTGGTCTTAAACCGTTTTAAAAAAACAGAGACTGAACCAATCTAAAACGAGAACAAAATAAAAAATGACTTGTAAAAAAACCGAACTAAAAAAGATCCGTTGAAGACCGGTAAAAAACCCAAACTGTTCCCAAAGAAGACTAAATCATTCTAAGAGCATCAATGAGAGAGTTGAATGAAGTGACAAGTTCATGTATCATTCAATAGATGAAACTCTACCATTGTGAGAATGTCACTTTGACATTTAATGGATTTTGAATTCAATAACCATTGAACTCTTCAATGAAAAAAAAAACAAAGTTTTTAATTCTTAAATATTTATTATAAATTACAGTTTGTAATATTCTATTGAATTTTGTAAAGTTCAACGCATTATAGGGAAAAAAATGATAGAATTATACGGATTGTAAAAAAATAATGTAGCAATCCATTGAATTTTATGGAGTTCAATTCATTATGGATGTCCTAAGACCAACTTAATATCAATATAAAAAAAAAAAAAACAGAAGCCATGGTTTATATACATTACATTTTGTGTTAGTTACATATTTGTTAATCACACGTTACAAGTTCAATTCATTATGAAGTTCAATTCATTATGGATGTCCTAAGACCAACTCAATATCAATATAAAAAAAACAGAAGCCATGGTTTATATACATTACATTTTGTGTTAGTTACATATTTGTTAATCACACGTTACAAATTCGTTTCATTTTTTTTTAAAATTAAATTTTAGTGTTTACTTTTAGTAAATATTAATGTATCATTTTTATGTGTTAATGATATATTAGTTAACGGAAAAATTTAAGACAAAAAACAACACTAAAACTGAAACTGAAAACCATGAATATAAACAGAAAAAGATGAACATAAAGACAGCGCTACCGAAAAAATATCGGTTCCAAAAAACCGTATCCAATAAGAAAAAAAAAAAGTTAATAAAAAATAAAATAAACGTGTACGAAAAAAAGACAAGTCCATAAAAAAGACAGAACCTTTGAAAGCCGATTCCAAAAGACTAGATTGTTTCCAGACAAATCGAGAAGCTTGTGGGTCCGCCAATTTGCACCTCACATACTCACATTCGATTTCATTTCTCCCAATCCACTCACATTCACGGTAGCAAGCAAATGGAAGAAGTGAAAAATCAACAGGTGATCTTGAAGGATTACGTTAATGGCTTCCCCAAGGAATCAGACATGCTCCTTAAAACTTCCACCATCATCCCCCTCAAGCTCCCACAGGGTTCCAATGGCGTCCTCCTCAAGAACCTTTATCTCTCCTGCGATCCTTACATGCGTGCTCGGATGAGCAAAACTCAAGGCAGTTACTTTGAACCCTTCACTCCTGGTTTGGTATGAACTACACTCTCATTTCTCACTTTCGTTTTTGCATTTTAGGGGAAAACAGTTTGACAATTGAACAATCAGTCGTTAGGATTGTGTTTTTCTACTCGAAATGAACTGTAGCACCCAATCTTTTGCTTGTGTTTTCATGTTGCAGCCAATAACAGGACTAGGAGTTGCTAAAGTTGTGGATTCTGGGCATTCAAACTTCAAGAAAGGTGACCTTGTTTGGGGAGGAACTGGATGGGAAGAATACACCATTATCACTACTCCCCAGACCCTTTTCAAGATTCAAGATACAGATGTCCCTCTTTCATATTATACAGGAATCCTTGGTATGTTTTCTATATAATTAAGGAGCTTTAAGATTGTATAAATTACGGATCTTGAATTCTGTAAAATGATTTTGTTTCTTTGATGGTTTTTTTAAGGTATGCCTGGTATGACTGCTTATTATGGGTTCTATGAGATTTGTGCTCCGAAGAAAGGAGAGTATGTCTTTGTTTCATCAGCTTCGGGGGCAGTCGGTCAGCTTGTCGGGCAGTTTGCAAAGCTGACCGGATGTTATGTTGTTGGGACTGCTGGAACTAATGAAAAGGTGATTAATTTGAGCATTATTTTCCCTTATATGATGATAGATTTATTGACATACATTTTCTCAAAATCATATGTTATGCAAGGTTGAGCTGCTGAAAAATAAATTTGGATATGATGAGGCTTTTAACTACAAGGAAGAGCAAGATCTTGATGCAGCTCTCAAGAGGTTAGTTAGTACCCCAAACAAATAATATATTTGTCACCTAAAACAAAGATTAATACTTTATATATATATATATATATATATATATATATATATATATATATATATATATATATATATATATATTCTATTTTTTCTGATTAATATCAGGTACTTTCCGGAAGGAATTGATATATACTTCGAGAACGTTGGTGGGAAAATGTTGGAGGCGGTGCTTTTAAATATGAGAGTAAATGGACGGATTTCGGCTTGTGGAATGATCTCACAGTACAACTTAAATCAAGAGGAGGGTGTGAGGAATTTGTCAAGCATAATAATGAAAAGACTTCTTGTGAAGGGGTTTATTGTAAGTGATCATTTTAATTTGCTTCCAAAGTACATGGAAATGGTTATACCATTGATAAAAGAAGGGAAGATATGTTACATTGAAGATATTGTAGAGGGGCTTGAGAGTGCACCTGCGGCTTTGGTCGGGCTTTTTTCGGGAAAAAATGTTGGCAAGCAAGTCGTGGTTGTGGCTCGTGAATGAGTCGGCCTGCATGGTTGGGGTTTAGCTTTAAATGATATACATATGAGTGAGGGGTGTTATTATGACGAATAATGAAAAAAGTGTATATGCATGTATGATGAGTGGTAATAGGTGCAATCGCAGGCAGTTATGATTTAGGGGTTTTGAGTAGGGTGTATGCACCCCACTTAACATGCAATCTTACTTAAATTTCATACAGAAAATTTGTAGTTATAATTGGTTTTCAGTTAAGGGACCCCATGATAAGTATTTTTATACTATGCATCCCAGTTACAATCATGTCTTGATCCGCCACTAGTCGCAGGATTAAATATGGGCAATGGGCATCATCTTTGTTTGTTACTATAGGACATTGTTATTTACCTTATGGTGTATGTCTTAGGCTATTAACTATTTGGTTAGAGGTGCAAAAAAACTGGGCCAAAGAGGTGTTTAACATGTCCCGAGATATAAACCAAAATCTGTTATCGGGGCGATAATCAGTACTAGCTTGCTTGGTAAGTTTTTTAAAATCTATGATTGATGTAACTCGGCTTAGCTGGTGATCGGCCCTAGGCTTGCAAATTCTAGCATGCATACATGTAGCATGTACTCCATGGTTTGGATTGTTTGCTTATTTTGCCCATCTAGTTGGGGATGATATGTTATAATTAAACACAACATAATACTTAATACTTTTTGTACACCCTACCAAAAATGAGGTGTGGACCAACTACCTTGATCAGTCACAATGGACAATGGTATTTCGTGCTTTTTCATAAGATTGTTGTATGCAACTTTGCAAACTTTTACATCGGCCAATGAGCAACAACGAAAAATGCACTCCTAGTCGATCGACGATTAACCGAATCATATTGTGTCTTTTTATTGTCTTCGATATTTTTGTAACGGAATTTATTGTTATATTATCTCATTTCCAATCCATAACATGAAAAGGCTCAAACTTCACCATAAGTCTTTTGGTGTTCGGTTTTCACAATGGAACACACAAATCAATTCTTCACAAATGTTGAATGGCAACTTTAATTGTTGCCACCAAGAATATGACTTTAATCCAAGTTTGTGTTCTTCTTCCATAATAAGATTATACACCATTGAAATTGATACAGTAAATCATTCATGAAAGATCTTAAATTCACATTGATGAGTTTAAACCACGACTAACTTTTCTTCCTTTATTTTCTCATAAAGGATGACCCCTAGTTGGTTGTGTCTCAACACGTCGATATGGATGATATAAATTCAATAAGAAGTGGTTATGATCAAGTTCTTTTCATCTATCTTCGTGTGATTAAAGACATCGACCATTATGTTAGCCTTCTTTGATGGTAGAAAATTTTGCAGTCATAATCCTTTAGAATATTCATGCATTTTATTATTATTATTATTATTATTATTATTATTATTATTATTATTTTAGATCTTTTTGACTAAACAAGTATTGCACACACTTGTGAACCATGAAAAGTCTACATTTAGTCGAGTAAAGGTAATGTCACCAAAGTTTCAAGAGATAGACGACAACTGCTAATTTTCTTAAATGAATTGGATAACTTATTTAGTGTACCTTTAGTTTTGGGATGAATAAGTGATGACTTGATCTCATTGAGTAGTAACACAACCAAAACGCATACTCAAAACATTGCTTTACCCGAAAAAGTCTTCCGTTCCTTTGGGAAGGGAAATGATTAGTGCCACCCATAATCTGTCACACCCCCGTCCGACAGCGGAAATGTCGAGCTATGCGACATCACCATGGATCATAGTCATTTGCATACATAGAACAATACAATATCATATCATAATGTGTAAACTTTTATTAATGAAAAAGGAGATTACAACATCCTTAATATCGGAGTGCATGATAATCTAAATAAACGAGTATGCCTTCACAGTTAGGCAACTATGAAAATTAGGCAAGTTAATATATAAACTATAATCCCATGATAGTTCCAAGCGGATGACTTCCAACTTCTTAATTTCAAGAGAATACATGTGTTTTGAAAATATGTCAAGATAATCTTTGTGAGTTCACATATTTGTAAAGTTGAACTCAAATGTACTTCATCAGTATACTTTTGAGAGTGTATTTTTATATCAAAAATATGTTTATTGGAAGTGTAACTTTATACCAAAATTAAGTGTACTTCACCAAAAGTATGTGCACTTTTCTACCATAAGTATATTTACTGAAAGTATACTTTTAAACCAAAAGTATGCATTTATTGTATATAACTAACCTTCCTCAACTTATATATAAATGTACTTTTTTAAACCTTACAAGTATGTGTTTTTATCGCTCTATATAAGATTTTTTTAAATTATATGAGTGCTTTTAGAGTGTACTTGGTGATTACAATGATTACTATTTCACAGGTTTGCTTATGTTTTTTTTCTGCATTATTATAAAATAAAACACCTAAAAAGATTTTATTTTATTTTTTAGTGTTTATTTCCTGCATATAATAATCAAAAAAGCTACATGATATAAGAAAAATGTTTACTTCTGAATGTGCTTTATAAAACTGGAAAACGATAAGGACTGAAAACATTAATCTATATACCGGTAGGTGTAGTAATAGTTCTCTACAACCAAGGATTTGAATGTCATAGTAAATTGTTATTATAATCCCAAAATAAAATGTATATCGAAACAATGCGTAAGCAAATGTAAAACAATCTTGGAACTAATTTATCAAAACTTTTAAGTAAGAACCTAAACTGTTAAGTCTTGACTCCATAAAACTTGGCCTTATTTGTTGAGATACCTTACCCTATTAGGTGAATCGAGACTCTTATAGCGTACTCATTCAGCCGACAAAAATGTGAAAGTGAGAAAAAGTATGACATTCGAGCTTACAGTGATACAATTATGAAATTCGGTACCCAAATCGACTTTCAAGTACTTAATCGAAGAAATCTTTAACAAAATTCAAAAACTAATTGAAGAATTAAAGTATATTGTTTATTTAATTTTATGGTTGGTTTATCGGTATGTGCCATTATACAGTTTTCTGATTTTGGGTTCTGAGATTACAATAGAGGTAATGAGATTGATGTTTAGGTTCGTGATTTCATTGGAGCTTCTTCAATATGAATTATGATTGTGAAAAAATAGAGTAAAAATGTTTTTAGTTATTTTAGTTTTACGCTTTTAAGTTCTAAGTTATCTTATGTTATTTTAGTTTTTATTCTAAGTTCCTTTTTATGTTATATGCAAATTTCCACTTTGTTTATAATGTTTAATCTTTTCCTTACTTGAGGGAAAGTGTGGTTTATCCTTGGGGTGATTTGTTAGATGTTATTTTATGCAACTTTTTTATTAGCTTTTAGTAGTAGTTTGTACCATATTTTATGCATTCATATTTTTTTTAGTGTAAATAATGGTCAACTCATGTTTTTCATCAAAATGCTCATAGTACTCATACTTTTATATCATTTTCAAGTATTTCGAAGTGGATCAGTGTCATTGAAGCAACTTGGATGCACATTTGGAGATTACTGGAGGCTAAACAAAATAACCCAGAAAACCAAGTAAATTGAACAAATCGGTACTTCTCATATGGTCACCCATTTTTAGCCGACTGCATATGCTGATTTGGCATTAAATGGCTTATGTGAACTCGGTAAAACAAATACCCTCCTTTATTGAAAAACCTCGATATTTCATCCTCTCTTCCATCTCCCTCCTATCACTTTCACCCACCTTAGTAAATTAGGGTTTTTTACCAACCCCATCTTAAAGGATGAAAAATGGACGACATGTATGATTTGGATAGCATATATGTGGTGCTCGATCATTATTTTAAGAGGAAACCAACAATCAGACTCAGATTATGTGCAAAGTAGTGATGAATAAAAGACAGATGATGATTTCGAGTATTCCACCCACAACCCAAAAGTGAGATAGAACTTAATGAAATCAGTGTTTGGTGAAAGGTATGAATCCCCATATCAGCTGAAATTGTGTTTAACTAAGTATGCTATCATTAAGGGTTATCAAATTCGTTTTAAAAAGTGAGATAGTGTTAGACAAGTCGCAATATGTGGAAGTGCTCCAGATAAGTGTCCATTCCTAGTTATGGGTTCTTGGATGAGTACTGAAAGGTCATTCCAAGTAAAAATCTTGTAGACAAGCATACTGGCGTTAGGGGTTTTAACAATGCAAAGCTTACGAATCCTACTTGGTTAGTGAAGAACTTTATGAAAGAGCTGATTAGGCAGCCTAACATAAAATGCAAGGAGATGTGGGTTAAAATACAAAGTAAGTTATACTACAACATCACATGGTCAAAATGCTATAGATCAAGGATGAGGGCATTATCATTAATTAATGGGAAATTGAGTGACCATTATGCAAGAGTTTGGGACTACGGGCATGAGTTGATAAGATCTAATCAAGACAGTATAGTTAGGATTTTTGTTACTATAAACCCTGTTAAAATAACAACATTTCATAGAATATACATTTGCTTTAAAGTAGTTATAGAGGGTCGGAAAAGGGGATGTCACAGGGTACTAGGGTTGGATGGTTGTTTTCTGAAGGGACAGTGCAAGGGTGAGTTGTTAACTTCAATAGGTGGGGATGCAAATAATCAAGTGTATCCTATATCATGGGCGGCTATTGAAGTAGAGAACAAGGTAAATTGGAAATGGTTCTTGGAATTGGTTAATGATGACCTTGGATTGCAGGGTGGTAGTGGTATGTGTGTAATCAATGATCAACAAAAGGTAAAGTAACTATCTTTTTCTAAGTGATTAATTCCTTATTAACTACAATATTTTGTGTACTTGCTAATCTTTAACTATTTTCATGTCCCAGGGTATTCTTGAAGCTTCTAAAGATATTATACCACATGTTGAGCACAAGCAGTGGGCCAGGCATATCTATGCTAATTTCAGAAAGGTTTATAGTGGAGTTGAATTTAAAAACATGTTTTGGGCAGCAGTAAAATCTACAACCGTAGGGGATTTCAAGTTGAATATGGAAAGGATCAATGAATTGGCTTCTACTGCAGCTAGGGAACCATCTTCATGGTGCAATGCTTACTACTCTACTGGATTGACTTGTGAGGCTATAGAGAATGGGATTGTTGAGTGCTTCAATGAAATCATCGTAGATGCAAGAAAGCAACCTTTACTCACCATGTTGGAAGAGATTAGGCTTTACATCATGAAGATGTTTTAAAATCTGAAACTAGATGCTAAAAAATGGAGTGGGGAAGTTTGTCCTTCAGCAATTAGGAAGATGGATAAATTTGGTGAATGTATTAAGTATCTTACTTGTTTTCCCTAATTCCATTTATAATTTGGTTGCTTATGTAATATGTTATGTATTTGCAGGAGTTGGGGCATAGTCCCAAGTCGCTTGAATGCATATGAAGTAAGGAGTGGGTTGCAAAGCTAT